ATTGATTGATTGATTGATTGATTGATTGATTGATTGATTGATTAAAGAGCATATGGGAGAAAAATAGATTGCTTTTCAATTCTACAGTGTGCAGTTGTATCCTCAACTGGATTCTCTGTACTTTCCAGTAAAACCTGATTCATGTGTCAATTCCTTTTGCTGATTTTCAGTAACGTTCTGGATTTTCTGGTTTTCAGTAACATTCTGGAAGGCAATTAAGTCTCCATTTTAAATGCAGGGATATAGAAAATAACTTTTTCAAAAAAACACTTTTTAGTATGAGGTTTTGAATTCCTGCCCTGAATATGATCTGTGAAGAGGTGGTGGTGGTGATAGGGAACATAATAAAATCCGTGTGCTCCAGGAATGCCGGAGATCTCACTGCTGAACCCTTCCCTTGGCACTGTTTATACTTTATAGCAGCAGTAATAGAATTGTTTTGCTCTGGCATCCTCCCTCATTGTGCTGAAACATTTAAAAGCTAGTGTCAAAAGGGTGAGGTCAGTCATAGAAAATTTTTCAAGGCAATTGTCCGACTGGGATTGAGAAGAACAACTCTGTCAGGTTGGAAGAAGTCACGCTACCAGTTTACTTCCATGAGACCAGACATCAAAATGAGAAAAGTAGCTTCTAGGCAGCAGCTACAATGTACAAATGGCAGGTATGTCATCAGCTGACTTTCCTTCCCTTCTTCTCTCTCCAAAATATCATTCCATTACTGCTTTTCCTCCTCTTCCAAGCCATCACCAAGCCCACTGATATGCAGTCACTCTTCGCCCTCCCAATATTTGGGTCATTTGCTCCCCTCCCCTGAAGCAGACTTGCAAGCTGTCAGGGTAGTTTCACTTCCATTGTGGATATAATTACTAAAGAGGAAAAAAAACTGGGAAACTTTAGTCCCGTCCCCCTTTCTCAGACCAACCTATCTCACAGGGTTGTGGTTGTATGGAAACATGGGAAGAGGGAACAGTGTACAGGACCTTGAGCTCATGAAGAAAAGCCAGCATATAAATTTAACAAACGAACAAATTATACTAGTTATACAGTGTTACCAAACTGGATCATAATTTCTGTATGTAAGCATTATGCCAAAATTTGTAAAAATGTACACCTGGATTAGGTTATTTACACAAGAAATGAACCATACAAACCAGCTGGATGAAAGTTTCACTGTGTTGTAATAGAATTAGCCAAATTTGACCCTGGTAAAACACCTCTGAAATTGTTTAAATAATATTAAGGAAGAATGTGCAGTCACCATTCATATTTGATTTAGCTCTTCCCTCTCTTAGATCTTTCTACCCCTTTGATCTTTATAAATGCAGAATTCTAGACCTCAAACCTCTGCTATAATTGATGTCAGATTTTATAGATTTTTTTTTTTTTTTGCATTACCTGTAGGCCTTAATGGCTTTCTTTTTAATAGTGGTCAATTAATACTACTTTCCTAAGAGTCCTTTTACTATTCTCCTGTATTACAGTTTTATTTACAGGGTTTCAGAAATAAAAAGGTATTGGTAAAGCTGGTCCTTCTGGAAATAATGGTTATTGTCCTTTCTTAAAAATACTTTTATTAGAATTTTTCAAAACAATAAAAGTATACAAAATTAAAAGAAAAAGAAAATGTAGAAAAAATGAAATGAAAAAAGAAAGAAAACATAGAATTATGACTTTCGCCTTTCCTTATATCAAGTAATTGACACCTGAGAAGAGAATATATATGTATTGAACTGTGGAGTCCTTGGTGCTCTCTGAGCTTGGTTGTTTGCTTGCCAATGTTTCATTACTTAGCTAGGTAAAATCATCAGTGGGAGTCAGAGTAGGGTTTACTCCCTGTTTATATACAGTAGCTTGCCCTGCCAGTTTTGGTGGGGGCGTAGTTTTCTCCTTGATAGTTCCTTGATTACAGTATTGTTTTCTGCTTGTTTGCCTGGTGTTAATACCTGCTTATCTGGATGTTGGCTACTGGAGAGGATGTGTTTTGGTCTTTTTGTTTCCTTCTTAGCTTTTTTATTGTCTCTTTTGAATGGTGTATAAATATGGTTTATTTCTATGTGTCGATTGATTGATTTGTCTGAATGCCAAGCTTCCAGGAATTCCCTAGCATTTTTGGATTTAGCTTCGTCTAGGATGCTCACAGTTTCCCAGTTGAAATTTGGTTGAGTCTGTCCACATGTTGTGAAATTAAGGAGTTTTCATCATGTCTTCTGACAGCTAGTTGGTATTCATGGATGTGCTCTGCTAGTCTTCTGCCTGTCTGTCCTACAATCCTTACACTGTATGTTGTAGATGACTCCTGTTTTTTCTTCTTGGACTACTAGTTCTTTCATTTTATTTACAATATTTTGGAGGGCTTTAGTTGGTTTGCATACTGTGCCATGTGTTTGTAATAGTCTGTTGGTTGTTTTTGTGATGTTTTTGATGCATGGTAGTGTTATCCTTTTCATATGTTGTGCTGCCTGTGCTATAGTGGGTTGAGTGGTCAGGCGCTTTTTGATAAAGTTCTGTGGGTATCCATTTTGTTGGAAGATAGTATAGGTGATCTGGTTCCTTCTGGTGTTTGGGGTTGCTGCAGTGTGTTTGTACTCATCTGAATAATGTTCTTACACACCTCCTCTTGTGAGAGGTTGGGTTGTTACTAATGGAGCACTTGGTTAATGTGGGTTGTTTTGACAGACTTGTATTTCTAATTTGACATCATTTCCTCTGCTGAAGAGGATATCCAGGAAGGGTAGTGTGTTATTTACTTCTTCCCATGCGAATTTTATTTCTTTGAAGATGTTGTTGATAGTTTCATGTGTCTTCTCTAGTTATTCCTTTTTTGTTATGAGGAAGGTGTCATCTACATGCTGGATCCATACTTTTGGTTGCATGCGTGGGAATGCTGTAGTTTCTAGACGTTGCATACAGTCTTTGCTATGAGTCCTGAGAGTGGTGATCCCATGAGTGTTCCTCTGATTTGTTGGTATATTTGTCCATCAAACTGGAAATAGGTAGTGAGGCAGAGGTTGATGAAGTCCATGATTCTGAGTATTTCAATCTTAGTGTATTTTGCTAGGTTGGGTGTGTTGTGTAGTACTGCTGCCATGGATTATTTGCTATTTCTGGATCTATGGATATAAAGAATGCTGTTACATCAAATGAAACTGTAATTTAATCTTCTATTTTTAGGTCTTTGATTTTCTGGAGGCATTGTAGTGGAGAGTTGATAAAATATTCACTCCCCTCTGTGAGTTGTCCAAGCTTTTTTGTAAGTTATTTGGCTATGTTGTCTGTTGGGGTCCCTGGTAACAACACAGTTGGACAAAAAAAAATGTCAGGCTTGTATAATTTAGGGTGTCCATAGAAGCAAGGCAGGACAGGTCCACTGCTTTTCATCTGCCACAGTTCTTCTTTTGTGATTTGACCTTTCTTGGTTGGGTCATTGAGGGTTCTCTTGATCAGGTTGTCCAATTTCTGTACTGGGTTGGTATTTACTGCGATGTAGGTTTCTTTGTCCTGCAGTAATTCTTTGGCTTTTTATATGTATTGTGTTCTGTCCATTATAACCACAGTTTGGCCTTTGTCTGCTGGGAGGATGGTGATGGTTTGGTCCTTCTTTAAGTTTTTAAGAACTGCTCTGTCCTTTGCTTTCAGTTGGTTCTGCATCTGTGTTCTTCTGGTCTGTAGTATGATTTTTCTGTCTTATGTTTTCTTGGATCTCTGTGGCAAGTCCTGTGGTTTTAAATGCTACTTCTAAGACTGCAAAGAATTCAGAATGCCTAAAACAGCCTGTTTCACATTCATGTTTCACAACATGTGAAATTTTGTACTCTAAACATTCCAAAGTGAAATTTTAGTACAGCCTTAAAGCAAATAATTAATAGTATTTTTCAGATGAGAAACAGTAAAGAAGAAAGTTAAATTAATGATATTTCAGTTTTAATTGCTGTATTTAAATAAGTGATCAGTTGCAAATCCCCAAAGTACTACCAATAGATCCCTGTATATCTAATATCTTCCTTTGGTTTCAAGAAATAAATGCACATGTGCACATATAGATATTTCATTTATAGGAATTATTGGGCACACACTTAAATGAACTTTAGCCACCTTAGCTCCATATAACTTCTGAGTCATTAATTGCGTCTTGGTTTTTGCTTGTTAAAGACAGAAATTCCTAAATACTGATTTACCAGGGTCCCTTTATGCTGTCACAACATGAAGAGTCCATTCATGTAGCATAAGAGTGATTCTGAAGCAACTGTCCTGTGCACAGGAAGTGGGGGGGAGAATGAGGTATATAAAACAGATCTGTATCCTATGCTGCCCCAAATGTCTTGTAAAGCTGTAACTATTAAAGCTGTAGTTTATATTTTCTGTCAATCCGGGTGGCCGTGTCTCTTTAATTCCCATCTTTTTCACCCACCCTTTCTATACTACAGTGAATATTGGTGGTGCAATAAAAGATTTTGCATCCCTGAATTAGTTCTGCTATAGAGATGAAAGCCACACTCCCAAATGCAATCCTGTTGGGGTTTAATCTGCAGAAATCTGCAGATTGAAAAAAAAATGCATAAAAATGTACACATACATGCACCTATATAAAAAGAGAGAAAATAATGAAGAAGGATTCATGTGAAGTAAGATGGCAGCTTTTTTTTCCAGCATTCTTCGCTTTGGAGAAATTTAAAGGGCAGTTAAGGGCATCCACTCTACAACATACAGTAGCCTCTTCACACAAGGAGCGTACAGAATGGTATTAGTATTATCAGCTACAAAGCTGTAAAACATGAGATATACAGATTCATGACAGAGCTCTGTGCAAACATAATGCAAAATTATAATGGCTGTTTGTATCTCACAATCCCACCAAGCCTGATATATACTGCATTTACTTGTTTACCACATTTTATACCACCCCCTTATCAAAGTCCCTTGAGTATATAGAAAAACATTGAAACTATAGCATATTAAAATACAAGAGGAATATTAAAAACCAATTTAATATTGCAAAACAACAACAATATCAACAGTGCAAAAGCATTAAAGCATGTATTTCACATCTAGTATCACTATTGAAAATAATGTCTCCTTAGCAGGATCTCATTTATTAGGCACACTCAGAAAAGGATCTGTGAAAATAATGGTAAATCTGGATTGGTGTATGTGGGAGAAGACAATCCTTGACATACTTTAACCACAGTATATTTAGGGATTTAAATATTAATATCTATACTTTGAAATCAATGGTATAATGGTAGGGAGAATTAAATCAATGGTATAATGGTAGGGGAATGACCTTGGGAGACAGGAGGGAGAGCTGCAGATGGGACAGCCAGCATGTAAAAGATGTCTCAGAAGGGGGGATGGCGTGGGAAACTTTTCAGAAGGGGCCCTCCCTAGTTTTCTGGAGAACAAAAGGAAAGGAGGGGAGAAATACTTTCAGTCTTGCAAGATTCGGTTATTGTAATCTTACAATAAAGATAGAGCTAGTACTCCTGATTGTGTTTCTTGTCCGAACATACTCACAGGGCTAATATCAGTCTTGCAATCTTGGAAACTGTGAGCATCCTAGGCCAAGCTAAATCCAAAAACACTAGGGAATTCCTAGAAACTTGGCATTCAGACAAATCAGCCGTCAATAGACACACAGAAATAAAGCATATTTACACACCATTAAAAAGGTAAGAAAGAAACAAAAAGACCAGAACACATCCTCTCCAGCAACCAACACCCAGATAAGCAGGGATTAACACCAGGCCAACAATCAAGCAGAAATCAATACTGTAATCAAGGAACTATCAAGGAGAAAACTACGCCCCCACCAAAACTGGCAGGGCAAGCTACTGTATATAAACAGGGAGTAAACCCTACTCTGACTCCCACTGATGATTTTACCTAGCTAAGTAATGAAACATTGGCAAGCAAACAACCAAGCTCAGAGAGCACCAAGGACTCCACAGTTGACATTTTATTCTTTCCCCTTTCTCCTTGACCCTTTTTGATCCCCAAATCCTTAAATCATCAGTTCAGTCTTGTCTTTTTTCAACAAAAAGACCATATAACCTTTCCAGACTTTTAAAAAAGACTTTATTTTTTTCCCCCAACCAAACTGACCATTTCCGCAAACTCCATCAATTTTATAATCCAATCTTCTACTGTGGATATTTCATTAATCTTCCATCTTTGTGCCTATAATAATCTTGCTGCAGTTACCACATACAATATTAGTTTCCCATATTTCTTTTCTAGTTCATTGTCCATAAAACCCATTAGAAATAATTCTGGTTTCATCGTAATATTAATCTGCAACTTTTGCATCATTGTATCAATTTGCACCCAGAATTTATTTGCTTTTTCACAAGTGCAGCATGCATAATAGAAAGTTCCTTCTTCCTTTTCACACTTCCAACACTGGTTTGATATTCCTTTATACCCACTTTTGAGAGTTTAACCAGTGTCATATACCAACAATGCATCATTTTGTAACAGTTCTCTCCTGAATTATGATATAATGTAAATTTAACACCAGTTTCCCACATTTTCTCCCATATATCCATATTTATATTATAACCCAAATTTGCAGGCCATTTCACCATACTGTCTTTAACCTGTTCATCCTCTGTTTCAAATCTTAATAACAATTTATACTTTTTAACTATCCTGTGATCATCATTGGTACATAACTACTTAAAATTCACTTGTCCTCTTTTTGATTCCAAATATCCTTTTGTTGCTAATTGTTCTCTTGTTTTCATCTTAATTTCTACCTTATCTTGTATTAATAGATCCTCATACATTAACCCGCCTTCTTTATCTGTTGTTTCTCTTCTATAAAAAGCTTCTTATGTGGATGTCAATAATGATATCTTTGGACACAGTCTGGGTTTATATTTATTCCATATCTTTAATAACATTTCTCAGGTAATGATTCTTAAAATCTACATTTACTATCATTTTGTCATGTGGAAATGATAGTTATTGTCCTGATTGTTTCTATCAGTGTGGGAATCTCCGTATGCAACACTACTTTAAGCAGGGAGCCCACTGCATTTGCATAACACAGTCACCTAAGGATCCTTCTTCCGAGATTCTTAAAATAAGAGGAAAACAATCAGGAATCTTTAGCATGGTGATGTAAGGGAGACTTTCTGAAATGCAATGGCTCAAGCCAGGCAACTCTTCTTGAAAAACTGATGTGGCTGCATCCTCTAGAAGGCTCAGGACAGTCGGTTGGAGAGCTTTTCCCAGTTGTCTGTATGTACAAGCGTGGATGACACTTCCATTGGGATGGCTTGCAGAGTGCAGTCGCTGTGCTTGCACACACATACAGAGGCGATCTGGAAAGCAGCTGTGCCAAGCCTTCCAGGGGACTACACTCTCTCAGTGTTCTAAGAAGGGGTGCTTTGTCTGGGCTCACGTGCTGTGCAAAGTATCTTTTCAAACGCTTTACGCAGCCTGACACTTCCGATAGGTTGGATCCACCCTTCTCCTTCAGTATTGGGGGAGGTCAGTCATCCATCAAGCATGGAGGATGCCAAAATAAGAAAGGCTGGTATAAGCTTTGCAAAACATATAATTCTGCCTAAGGAATAATCATATCAGGGAGCGTTCTGTGTGTGCACACAATATTTCATTGTGCTAAAGGCAAATCAGGTTTCAAAAGATAGGGCCAGTTCACATGACCTCATGCATACATGAATTTTGCACTGAGTTGCTTATATTTTAGATGTTTGTAAAAGGTGAACTATCAAGTGCATGGGGAATGTAACTGTGAAAAGCAGTCATTACTTGAACAGTTGGCAAAGGCTGTTAAGGAAAAAGCAAAGGAAGGTTGAGAAGATGCACCACTACCAATAATACATGTCTAAAAGCCTCATGTTATGTAGATGAATCTCTGCAATTAGTCTCAAATTGTGTGGCAAAATATGTTATTTGGAAGGCAGAGGTAGAGTTCAAAAAGAAAAATACCCAATAACTAAAGGAGTCATTGTGGCAATGAAAAGTTTCTTAAAAGCCATTGTATGTTGTAATGGTGATAGAATTACAGATAATGCAATAAACCCTCTGTCAGTTATTGCTTCCTGAAAATCTGTATAAAACTTTACCTGAATAAATAAAATTAAGAGAATCAATTGTATCATGCTTTTAGGATTTCGAGACTGGGTTCCAAAGGAACTGCAAAGGGTTGGCTGTGTGGAATTGCTAAACACTGTACAAAGGCGAGTAAGACCCAAACTCCATGTTTTTGGGGGTATCCATGAAGGTAAGCAATCCATGAGATAAGATGCTGTTTGCTGAGAAAATATTAGAGTCAATCTTTCTGGTATTTTATGTCACAAAAGGCTTTTCAAATAAAAAGAAAGGTGTTCTTTTTAAGAAATTGATCATTTATAAGGTAGAACATTTGGCATTTAAACCAATATTAGAAGAGGAGGAGATGAAGCAGTGGGAGGTGGGGAGAATCATGTATCACAGAAAGTGGTGCTGTGTCATTTGGAGCCAAGAACAGGAAAGTACAGACTTGATTTACCAAGTTATTTACCATTCTGATAAATCCTAAAGTTTAGTAGACAAGTACATTGCTCACTCTATGTTTTTTTGTCCATATTGTTCTGGCCATTGAAGCTTCTCTAAGAATCTTGTATGATTTGCAAATATAAGGAACATCTTTAAACCATTTAGAGCCATTCAGATAAAAGAGACCATTTATAATGTTTTTATGTGCAGCAAGTGGCATATGTTTTTTATAGAAAGTTCAAGATGTGAACAACGTTACCCAAATATCAGAGCAGATGAAGAAATAAAATAACAAGTGAAATGTGTGTGTGTATAGTTATAATCTGGTTTAAATTTCAGATGTTTTTAAATAGCATGTATATTTTTCAGATAAGCTTTTCAAAATATCCTGCTTTAATGTTAAATTAAAAACAGGGACATTTCTAGCACACAAAGCTTCCATAGCTGGTTATGAGGTAATGAGAGATTCCTTCAAATAAACTAAGCAGGAGTTTTAAATATTTAATGAACTTTAGTAGCTTTTATATCCTAGTGTGACAAATACTGCAAATGCTGCCTTAGAGAGAAGAGAGGGAAAGATGTGACCCCCAGAATTAAAAATTATATATTTAAATGCTTTATATTTCACACCTCCCTTTTTCTGGAAATTTCTTATGGACTCTAATTAAGCTCTCTGTAGGCCCACAGCTTTGAAGAACTTTATAAAACACTAGATAGTCCATTTGATTGACACTTTTGCTTTTTCCCGAAGTCTGCATGATTTTAAAGCAACTAGATTTGTATACCTGGGTTATATAAAGCCCTTTAAATAAGGTTTTCATAATGAGAAATGCTGACTAGCCCTTAACCACAGTGGTATCCATGTAAATAATAAGCTAAGCTGGATAATTTTGTATAAATACTGATGTTTGGGTATTAATGTTAAGTAAATGATGGAAGAAACAAATATTTTACTAGAGCATGGAAACTGCCTGCAGCTTTTGTAGTTCTGTTCCAAGTTGAAAGTAATCAAACTTCCACTAATAATCGAATTAAGCTGATGGAAAGCAAAGAGAGATCATTATGAAAAGCTACTGTGAGGCTCAGCATTATACAATTTAAGTTTACGACTAGGTTGGTAATGCACACTTTAAGTATAAAAGAGATTTAATGAGTATTCAGGAGCATTGAGATGACACAGATTCTACTTATATGAGTAGGTCTCCTTGAACATAATGAAACTGCTCATTAAAATACTATTATTACTAAATTATTATTCTTAAAGCTTAAACATCAAATGTCCCATTGTACCTTAAGATCCTACCCACCAAGAGATGGTGTTGCTAGCTGAAAGTAGAATAAGGTCCACAGTGGGCAATAAGGATGGACAGGTGTGATTCCGTAGCCTAATTGAACAGCTCAATGTGTGGGAAAGAGAAGAGGAAGGGGTGGGGCTGGGGGGGTTAGTTGCTTTTGTTTTTTTAAGACCACACATGTATGTCCCTCTATATTCAGTACTGTCTGTCTGGATCAGGATCAAAACATAGCATGGGGTTTGATGAGAGAAAAATTATACTTCATTTAATTCGGTTCATATTTAACCTATAAATGTTCATGCATCCCTTGCATTATTTAGGACAAGCATTTGCATATTATTGAGGATTTCACCTCTTCACCATTTTTTTTTGAAAAGCAACTTAATAGATCACATAGAGGATCTATTTTAAAAACAACAACCCAGAAGCATTTTTTTTTCCAGAGAGAGAGAGAGAATGCACAGAAAATGCAATTGTGAAATACTTGTTCTCAGAACTACAGATTTCACCCTCAGTATCTTAATTATTAATTGCAAAGATTTGCACTGAATGTATAAATGAGTGATCTAAAACAGTATTTCCTACAGTTTCACTGATTCATTTAAAATTTAAACTTATAACTTAAAGTCAAATTGAACAAGATTATTTTCACATGAAAAGACAGGACAAGAATTTGTCACCACTAAACTCACTAGCCTGGCTCTTGATGAGTAAAATAGCAAATGTCTTTGTCTGTCTGTCTGTCTATCTAAATTTGTATGGCCATCCACTCACCATGTGTCTCTGGACAGTTTACAGAAGGTTAAAAAACATTTTAAAATGGAATAGAAAACATGAAAATACATTGCACAGGATCATGGAACACCTGGTCCTGGGACAGTATCTTGAAAATAGGCACAGAGCATTGGCTCTGCCCCTTTACAGATCCTGTATCCTGACATTACCACCAGTATTGGAGAAGAAACATAGACGTGATCTTGGCCTCTTCTACACACACACACACACACACACACACACACACACACA